GAAATACATTATTAAATAATACTGTATTATCTCATATATATATATATATATATATATATACCGTTACACGCGCACATTCGATACGTACACAAAACGGGGTTTCGTGCAATTCTAAGGTGGTAGAAAATCGCTTAGATCGGGCGGCACTGTATTCCGCCCGACCGATCGTTCCAATCCGTCGTCGCGGAGAAGCATGGCTCTCACGGGTTTCAACTTCTTCGGTGCTTTGCGCGACGGAGACCGGAAAGGGATTATCCTTTCGTCGCGCAGTGACCTGGCCGGACCGGCCAGATGGGCGGTCTAATGTTCTCGAGTTTCTGAACGTCATTCTCAAGCCGAAAATTCTCGAGAATCTTCGGAATGTCAGAAATCTCAGAAGTCCCGCCAAAATTGGGTGTTCACGGGTGTGTGTGTGTGTGTGTGTGTGTGTATGTATGTGTGTGTGTGTGTATACACGCGCGCTTCGCGCTTTAATTCCAGCAAACACCAAGTAACAATTACATAACTGTCAGTTATAATTTTCAACTTGACAATGTGGCAATGCAACGTAACGCGTGTGTTATGTAACAGTTACCTCGTTGACTGGAAAATTATGACCAACAGCTGTATTACTGTTACTCTGTGTTTGCCAGGATATATCCGATCCGTCTGGCGGGATCACTTGGCTGTCACTGCGTCGCGTCACTCGCCGGCTCGCCTAATAACGACGGAGCGGTCCGGTCTGTTTGTGTCGACCTGTATTATAGACTATATATTGTACGATAGATTAGAGACGAGGCGGGTGTACATATGTAAATACGACTAACGCTTGACGCTTGTTGTTCACGTTGCTGTCGTTGGTCTCGGAAGACGCTTCGGGGTCGAGGAGAGTCGCGTCCGCGACCTCGAAGCACGATCGCTTAATCCTCGGGCGAGCGCGACGGAACCCCGCGATTCTCGAAGAGATCTCCTGCAAAGAAATACGTCGTGATCCCACGTGAACCGCGAAAATCGAGGACAGACGAACAAAGAGCCACACAGTTGAAGAAACGCGTGAAAACAGCGAGCAAGCCTCGTTCTCGTGTCAGACTGCTGCAAAAAGATTTGTTATTTTTCTCTTAAAAATAGGAAGTTCTCGTTAGGTGTCTAAAAATGTGTCGAATCGACGTTGTTTTCGTTTTATCTGTAATAATTACGAATCCTTCGAAATTTCGAACAATTTCGTTCTCTAATTTATTTGAGCTCGGTTGTTTCAACTTCTTGCTAATTTGACTGATGATTCATATATCTGTCTTTGTCTAAGTTGAAGGAAAAACAAAGATAGACACATGACTAAGTTATCAGTTAACTTACCAAGAAATTGAAATAACCGGCCCTTGATAATCGCGATAAATTCTTTGCATAAATTTAATATATACTTGCAAGCGTCATACCGCACTTCTTCTCTCTTATCAGAGACATAAAAATCATTTATATAATATAATAAAGATATTATATATAAAGATTTATATGTAGAGATTTATATATATATATAATAGAGATAAAAATCGGCTACGAAATTGGCATTTTGTTTACCCAGACAGCACAAGATTCCTCAAATTCATCCAGAGTATTTCCCAGGATATCCTGAGAGAGTGTCCTAAGACCTGTTGTGCTGTCTGCGAACGTATTCAGCCAATAAGAAAGAAAGAAAGATCCAAAGAAAAGATCCCAAAATAACAAGAAGTGATCAGTAAATTTAAAGAGAGAAGAGCAAGATAAAGAGACAAAGAGAAGAAAAGAGACTCGTGAGATTCTGACCTCCTCCAACTTGCTTACCCTTGCCTCGTTCGAGCCGATTTGACGCTCGATCGCGTCAATGCGCGAGTAGGAATATCGCGTCGATCGTTCTCTCGACGTCGCGTCGTTCGATCTGTCTCAGAGTCGTTCGCCCGCCCGATGGTTAACGACAGAGAGCCGGGGAAGCGCTCGACAGTGTTCGCAGCATTGTAAATAGACTCGCGTGACCGGAGTTCTCGATATTTAATTCTCGCGTTTATCCCCCCGAAAACTCCGTCGCGCTCCTGTCCGAGAGCCGTTCTTCTCCGCGCACTGTAAATAGCTCGTCGTCCCGACGACGACGGAAACGGGTATCGGTTAGTCCACGTTTAGTAATCAGTATCTTGTTTAATGTATACACAGACACAGTATATTATGTATACACACGCAGCAGCGAGTACTTGATACTTATAATGATTTTCTGCGGGCGAGAGGGTGCAGAGCCGCGTTGATATCCGGGAATGATTGACGGTGACAACAAGGCCACAATGGTACATCTCGTCGTATAATTGTCAATTACGCTAATATATTGCATATTAGAATATGTCTTATTATTACTATTATTATATTATTATTACTATTATCATCACATCATTATTTTATTAACATTATTATATCCTTAAACGATAACGCTCTTCTTCCGTTTTACTTTGTTTTCATTACTATTTAATTTACGTTCAGTATTGCCACGAACAATAGCACTTAGCTGCCCTCTCTCAGCGGACTGCTCGACTTGGAATTCCATTGGCTATCATTCCCCTCGCGCTATCGTTGCCCCCGGTATTCGCTGTCGATTTTGCGAACCTGAGGCATTCCGCTTATTATCTCACTAGCGACACACAAGTACCGTCACACGCAATTATCATTATTTTATTATAATTAATAATATTATATTATTTTTATTATTGTATTAGAGAGCCCCCGATATATAATAATAATCTTAGTTAATGTGACTCTATCGTTAATATTACATTATAGTTCTGCATATGCGGGATAGTCCACGTGCGAAGCAACGTCCAGCTGCTCTCACGGAAACGGCCTGTATATGTGCGTATATGATATTTATCGTCGGATTGTCCGGTTGCAGAAGTGACTTCTGCGGAGACAGACTTAAGATCAGGGGACACGGGATTGGGGTAACAATTGCGGCGCAGTGTGAAAGTTGATCGATCTGATACCGCATCACCGTCACAATTGTCGCGGCTTCTCTCGAGCATCAATCGGAGCCGGTGACGGAGACACGGCCTGTCTCTTCTGTACGATCGGTCGGATTGGCCAAGTTTTACACTGCAGCCTGGCGTCATCGATGATGCGTGCGTGGACGACGGTCGCTATTCGTATATTCGAGCATGTGCGTGTGTGTGACACAGCCCTCAAGCTACACGCTCGCTCGCACTTTGGCCGCTCCGGCGAAACTCTTGCGGAAATTTATATTGCGGATAATAAATAAATAAATACAAATACGCTCACACACAAACACACTCACACACAAATTTATTTATTCACGGGGACAGGGAGTGCAGAGAGGAAGAGTGTGTAGCTTCCGAAGCGAACGGGCCCAGCTGGTCGACGAGTGTCGTTCGCGAGCCTGTAAATTAAAGCGCGGCTGCGTTATCCGGACGTTATTATCGTTTACTTATTAGCGATTGTTATTAATCGTGGCTCACGGTAGAACGTGGCCGCGCGCTCTTATGTGTATGCGAGAGGTAATAAAAATTAACGTGTAATATAATATGCTTGTGAGTTGTGATGCAACAGCGGCTCCTGGCCCATCGCTGCAGTTGTTGCTCGATCGAGGGATGATATCAGAAGCGAGATGGTACACCTTCAAAATTCTTGCGAAAGACGTTGAAATCGAAAGATACGTGTGGCATTTGTGATCTTTTCAGCGGATTTTTGGAGAGCAGGCTGAAGACTTTCCTCCATTGCTCCAATAATCAAATATGGAATTATAAAATATAATTGGAATTGACGTGACAAACATCAGCCAGCAGGCTACGTAATTTGAAGGCTGATATAAATTTTATAGCTGACACAAATTTTTTTATTCATTGATCATTCGGATAATAGTTTTATGGACATGTCTTTTTATTTCGACGAGTTATTTTGAACGTAAATTTTCTCACTTCTGACGTCATGTAATAAAACGACAGTGAACCTCAATCACGTCGAATACCTCTTATAGAGAGAAAGAAAGAAAGAAAGGAGGAGAAAACAGGAAAGCAAGTTTCAGAAGGTACACAAAGATCAGGAAAGATGTATGCGTTAATATGCTTCATCATTCAGTTTATTATTTGAAACTCTGAACTCTGAACTCTTAAAAATAACTGCTCTCTCTCTCTCTCTCATGTTTCCTCTTTTCCGTTCGCATACATTCTTAGTTTAGCTCTCGTGGAATATCCGTCCTCCAAAGATGTCTATTATTGCTTCACTGATGGGGCTCAGCAACACGTTCCCCTGGACACGTTAACATCGTGGACAAATTGAATTCGATGACGACAACCGGTCAGTCGATCGGTCGCGGCGCTGCAATGTCAAAATGATAAGAGAGTACACGGGGCTACGGTTAAACTAATATTCCGGGATAGTCTTTATCTGCAACAGAGAATGACGCCGGTATAATGTCGATTCCCTCCGTAGGGGCGCCGTAGAAACGCGGTGGTTTATGGGTGCGTACGAAATTTCGAAACGCGGTCGACTTTGGCGACACGCGATCCGCGCTCGGGTGCAGCTCTGGGTTTTTGTCGGCAGGTGCTTTAGAGCCGGTTTTACATTTTACTTGTTCTTTTCGAACGATTAGGACTTATATTTTGTTCTCGCCGAGCGAGTTTGACGTGTGCTCGACGCACTTTGACGATAACGCGCGCGCGCATTTTGTTTGGTTTACTCACTACTGGTCAATGAACTGAACCGCAATCCTTTGGGCATGTTGAGCATTTTCGAACCGGTATGGCGCGGCGTTGAAACTCTGTACGGTTTCTTCTCGTTGCTGAGTCGTTTCACCTATAAAACACGAAGTCAGGTTACTTAAGCGAGCTGCGAAATCGTAGAGAGTGAGATCTATATTAATAGTCGTTGCCTGAAATTTGTCTCACGCGAGATACTCGGACTTCAGTTTAGAGTCAGATACGAATTCTTCAGTTGAACTGCCCTTACAAATGTAATATCACGTATCATGAAGAATCGGATCTAATTCCAAATTCAAATCCTCGTATTCCTTCGCAGTGAACACTAATATAGCAGCTTTCTATAAATATAATTTTCTACTAAACAACATATAAATGTAATATAGGATATGTTGTATGTATAACATTTGAATCGTCGAGTGGGAAATTGTAACACTGATGTAAAGTTACTATTAATTGATGTTCACTGAGACGAGTTTGAGGCAACGAATATAAACCTAAGAAAAACGCGCGAAGGTTAGCAGACATTGCGTTGCGCGAAATACTTCTCGATTCGTCTCGAAATATTCATCCAATTTATCCCGAAATCATTTCGAGATTATTCTTTGCTAACTCTCATCTCAAGTCGAAATGTTCAGAGATTTCCTCCTGCGTTAACGTACTATTCAATTCGCTCTCGTCATTGGCGCGAGTAACACAGAATCGAAGACCATCCACGATGAAGTCCTCACGCTTTCCGAATCAGACAACGCACGACGCGGCAAGTGGCACGACGAGCAAATCGAGAGGACTTTCTTCCACATCGCGTGCTCGATAATCGCGACGTCAATCTTGCTCGCTCTTCCCTCTCGAGCTTCCGCCCGGTAATTCTCACCTGCTCGTCGATCGCCGCGAACTGCCACTTCCATGTGTAATTGTAGAGGAAAGGCCGATGGTCGAAGCGGTTGTCGTCCGGGCTGTAGGTTTCCGCGTGGCACGACGGTGTGAGCACCGTCATTTTATGGCGGTGTATGGCGTAACACCGGTAAAAGTGCTTTACCTTGTCGGCCACCTTAAACAGGACAAGATCTCTTGAAGATTTTGCGACGAGGAGTTCGTGACGCTTCACCCTCCGCTATTCTCCATGCGACATTTATTCGTAAACACTTCTCCTTCATATCATCATCTTTTTATTTTTTCTTCATATATTTCTTTATCAACATTTCTCCTTCGGATATTTCATCATTATTCACGGAGAGAATATCATATTTTTCTTTTCTCATGTAAATTATTTTCAATTTTACCGGGTTTTCTAATAGGTCGGGGATTGAGTGTCAACAACAGAATGTTGTTAAGCTTATCTTGTAAGCATAGCAAATTGTTTTAAAAATGGTAGATTTTAATTTCTAAAGTATACTGAGATAGTATGTATAAAACAAGAATAATAAATTGAGGCAGAATGTCAACGGTTGCAAAATTATACAGTAATTTTTACTATGGAGTTCTCTGTATACTATAGAAATAAACGATTATATATGACGGATAAAAAAGTATGAACGATGATATGTCTGAAAGAGGACATATACGGATAAACGTCTCACAGAGAAGCGGCGGATAGCGAAGCGAAATCGCGGTCAACGCGCAAACTCACTTCCTTCGGCGTGCACTGATCCCACATGTGTACGAGCCTGCAGAACATGGTGAAGGGCCCGGCGCAGTGTTGTTTCCTTAAGCGGCCGAACACCGACAGTTCCCTGTACGTCATGCCCATGTCCACCTCGTCCATCTGCGTGAGCTGTCCCGCCTGTAGCGGCTCCAATTCGGCGGTCGGTGTCGCTTGCAGGATGTTATCCAACACGGATATCCCATGTTTCTGTCTGCGGCCGAGAAGGGTCGAGCGCAAGTTTAGAGAGATACAGTTCGCCTCTTACCTCGACTTCCGCGCGTAGCGGAATCGCGCGCGCGCGCGCGCCGTCGCGTTCGACCACACCTGAAGTACGCGAGGAACTTCTTGAGGTCGCTCTTGGAGATACCACCGATGGGATTGATGTCAGCGCTGCTGCAGTCGTACTTGGTAAGATATCCCCGCAGCGCCTCGTCCACGTTGCTGCTGCCCAACACCAAAAGACCACCCGGCCGACCTCTGACCCACAGTATCAATTGTGCGAACAGATAAGCGATCACCATTCGTAGCCGCGCCTAAAGAGCACAGGAGACTTCGGTTACCTTCGGAGGAAAAGGAAATCGCGAGATACCGCGGCTAACGGGAAAGCTCGTGAGATCACCTGTACGTTCTGCAAGGCGACGTTCTCGCGAGGCGATCCGCCGTGCACCCGAAACTTCGGCGTCAGCTTTGTGACTTGCTGGAAGATCCCCAGGACCGCGGACACCGCGCTGTCAATCACTATACCTTGATGATAGGAGCCCAGCTGACTGGCCAAGTCGCTCGCTCTCGCCTTCGTCTCCGCCGACGAGTTCTCCGTTCCCATGTAGCAGGTAACTAGTATGTGATTGCACAGCTCTTTCGCGTTCACCGGAGTGTACTCGCTGTCGCCAACTATTTTCCGGACGTCCGCCAAGACCTGCGTGTCTGAACGCGAGACAGTGACAATCGTTTCCTTCCTTTTCCTCCTCCAAGAGAAGAGAGAGAGATTCGCGTGACTCGCGTCTTACCTCCCCTATTGATCGTATCGACGATCATTTGGCACATAGAATACACTATGCACGCGGAAGCCGACGAGTCGACGCCACCACTCAACGGTAGGAAGAAGCCACCTTGGTACGCGCGTCTGAAACATGCAGAAAAGTTATTAGCAATGCAGTTTATTTGTGCGAAATTTACTTTCCTAATCGTAACTTGATATTTCGAACTTTCACAGTGTGCGAAAATATATGCTGAATTTGGCTTCCGAATTGAAAAGCCATGTCCTTTGTAAATTTGTCTCCAAAATGTTCTGTGAACATTTCAGTTCACTTGGTCGGGGAAAGGAGTAACTTGATACATAAGTATCAAGGTAAGTAGATAAGTTGAAACGTTGAAAATAAATTCACACAAGAAACATAGCTCCAATTTGGAAGCTAAATCTTACTAATCTACTTATTCTAATCGTAATTTCAGAAAGACGCTAAAAGTTGAAACATTGATCGAAGAGGACTCTCTCTTCGCACCTGAGATAATCCCATAACCAGCACGCTGGTGCCATTGCGATTTCTTCCTCGGGAGAGTGATATTCGATTTTTGGTCGATTGTCATCCTCGTCGTCGTCGTACAGGTCCGTGTCGTCTAGAAATGGATCTGGTGGAGCCGAGAAAAGGTTCGCCGGGGTGAGCGCGAACTCAACCTTGACGCGCGGATAATTCCCTGACGCAGCAGCTGCGTGCGATCGCGATCGGATGCTATTCCGATAATTTCTACACAGAGAGAATTTTATATAGCCTTTTTCACATATAATTTCTTTCTTATCCTATCATATTTTCTAACAGTACAGAGAAAAGTTTCCTTTGTTAAGAAACATAGTAATTATTTTAACAGTAGGTTTTAATTACTGAAAAATAAATTATTGTTATTATTATTGTTATTAGTTTATTCAGTTTAATTAATTTAATTTTTTAAGTTTACTTATTAGTTTATGATTTTTAGCATATATGAAACCGAAAGTATAATAATTTAAATGTCTCTCAATAGCCAGTATTCATAGTCAGGTATTATGTTTAAAACTATCTTAAATTTATCTTCAGATATATCTGTATGAATATAAGGATATAGAGAATCTCCATATTTGGTTATGGAGAATCTAAAGGTAAACTTAAGATAGTTTTAAATATAAGATATATGAATACCGGCCAATATCTTCTCCGATTACAAAATTTTAAAATAATCTTTATTACAAAATTTCTTTCTCTCTCTCTCTCTCTCTCTCTCTCTCTCTCTCTCTCTCTCTCTCTCTCTCTGTGTGTGTGTGTGTGTGTGTGTACAGAGAGTCATGTGATATCCTCCCCTCGACCGCGGACTCGTTTACCGACCTTATATCCTCCAAATCGAACGTAGCGACGATCACTTCCACTTCCTCGAGAGCGAACTGCCGGCCGCGATTCAATATATGCCCGTTCAGGGCGATGCTGGAGCCGCCGTTGAAGTAGAGCCTGTTGCCGTCGCATCCACGCAAATTGCTGAACATGTAGCAACCGCCAGCCTTAAAGGTGGCCGATTTCACGAGGTCTACCGTGACGTAGGCTTTGCGCAGCTCGAAGTACGAGCCGCTTCCTTTCGAATGGAACAGACAACGTCACGTGGACCTTAGATTCTAAGATATCTCGGAGAACGGCAACGGTATTGATAAGAAAAGACATTCAGTTTTAATCTTTGCGAGCTCCTAGAGAGCGTTCGAGATGAATAAGGAGCGGGAGAAAAGAAACGCGTGCATCGCGGCGCTGACGTTACCATTCGCGATGATTTCCACGCCGTCCAACGACATGGGAATGTGGTTGCTCTCCGGATGCCAGAGCTCCTCGCAAATCTCGAAGCCCACGCAGGTGTCCATCGTCGCGATTACCGCGTCGCCGAACGGCACTATGGTCTGCCCGGTGATCTGCGATATCATCCGCGGCAGGAAGTAATCCTCGACCGTGCGTGCCTATAAGTGCATCCAATAAAAAAGACTGATCGGATTATCGCGTGCGGCGACATTCGCGTCGGCTGCGGCATTCGGATCGATCACTGGGTGTATTCTTTAAATTTCTTGGAGTGAAATCTCACTTGAAACTAAAGCGAAAACTCACTCAAAGCGATACATCAGAAAAACTGACATTCTACTGTTAAGAAAAAAGATTACTCATTTTGCTTTCCTTTTTAGTAACGATTGTCTCCAACAGAGAATGTTTTCTTAGTAATCTTAGTCTTGAAATGTACTCATCGCACATTTTAAAAAAGTTCACCATCATGCCATCAAAAAAAGACTGTATTCTCTTTACAAGAACATTGTAGAGCTTTGTCGAGGAAAAAGTTAGTTTAATTTTATGTAGTAAACAAACGGCGAATCTTTTTTTAATTTAATATTGCTAAACTTACTAGAATTCAGAATGTGTGTCGGGTAAATTTGATGCTTACAACAAACTTATAACATGTATATGTGAAAAGACTATTGAGTGAATTTATTCCTGTAAGATGATGGAATCAGATCTACTCTCTTCAATCTCGAGCAAAGAAATTTACTCGGCGATTCAGAATGGAGAATTCGCTCTCTCGATTCGAGTGGCTGACACTCTACTTTCCTAATGAAATCGCACCCCAAAAAGAATTCTTATAATGCTCCTTTTCTAAATAATGTTCCTCTTATTTCAGTTACTTTCTTCCAAGGGGAGAACCATCTGCTCTCCCTGTAGTTGCCGTCCTCGCAGAGCTGCATCTTCGGTCTGATGAGCAGCAGCCGTTGGTTCAGGAAAGCCACTCGGCAATTGTACGTGACGTTCTTGTGCATCACCGGCATACCGACGTCTATCAGCATGTCCTCGCAGGCGCTGGACTTCAGCAGGCTCGCGAGAACCTCCCAGCAGTGCAACAGAGTGTCCGACTCGTTGAAGTGGTCCTCGCAGCTGTATCCACTGCAAGCGAAGAAACATATTTAGGACGGAACAAGCGCCTTTAACACTAACGGAAGAATCGCTATGTCTCTCTCACGAAATGAAGAGATATCCCGGACGAAGATTTCGAAAAACGAACGAAGTCTCGCGAGTTCCAAGCCAATTACCAAATCTCCAATTCCGGACCGCTCCTGTAAGTGGCGCCGGCTTCCTTCGCCTCCTGTATGCTCTGCAGAATTCTCCGGTGGTTCCCGTCGAAGTCCATCGCCCACTGATTCAACGTGCAAACCGCCACTGTCACCGTGCGTCCCATCTTGAGCCCGCGACGTTCGTTATTCTTATACGAGACTTGAGATCGGTCTTATCTGAAAGAACAAACGCGATTTCGCCACTATAATCAATCTCAGAAGTCGAGTTCTCCAACGGGAGAATATTACGGAATAGTACGGAATGGAATATTTGGACGGGATTTCTGCGGAGCGAACAGAAGAAATTCGGGAGAAGAGACATCTCGAGCTGAGAATCGCGTTATTACCGACACTGTATATGTCTCGCGTGCAATTAACAATAACGCCGCTGTTACCGCGAGTGTATTGAACTGTTACGAGCCGATGGTCGCGTGTGCGCCCGATGGAACGATTCTGATGGCAGACAGCCGGCCGATTCTATCAATCGGAATGCCATCGATCGCATTCAGGATGATAGACCGAGCCCGCTTCGGTTCGCCTTAGTCTGGAGCGCGTTGATTGATCAATAATCCGGAAAACCCAGAGCGAGCTAAGTAGACCGCCTTCCGCTCCGTGGCAACCTTCGCGGACTAGCAAGCGGGATCATTCCTAGGCGAAATTCTGTCGGACACCTTTGCGATTTTACGACAGCGAAATTACGTCAAGCGAGAGAGAAATGAATGTTCAGTTGATAAAATTAATTGGCCAAAGTTAGTTTACGGTTACTAATTGAGAGATAAGAAATTTCTCGATGCGTTCACGTTTATAAGAGACTCATGTTTATAACGAACATCCAATCGTACTTGTGTTGTTATTATCAGTTATATCATGAAGAATCGTTATTACACTGGAGGAACAATTCTGACGCATTCACGTTTATAGAGACTCCAGATACCCAGTCGTACCTGTGTTGTTATTATCGGTTATATCATGAAATGTTATCACGCACACAGGAAGAATAATTCTGTTAGAGTTTAAATTGAATTTTCTGTTACTCGGGGACCAGATGAAAAATTCGGTTGTCGAAATTTCAGCCCTACTTTCGGCCTGAACTTCTTAACATTTATATTCTAAAGGCTCAGTGTGCGTTTAATACATGTGGAAATTGAAATACTGCTTAGGTCTCTAAATAGGCAAGAAACGCATAAAATACCATTTACAGATTCTAAAGAGGATTTCTCGGCGAAGTTAGAAGAACGAATAGAATCAAAAGAGATTGATACGAGAAGTTTCTGAGTGTCAACGGAGCAATTAATAAAAGGAGCTATCAATAGTTGTCGCTTGAAACTTGTCTCATGTGTGTGTGTGAGATACTCAGATTTTTATTCAGAGACACAAATTTTTCAATTGAATTATATGATACATTATATATGTAACATTATATCTATAATCACAATTCAACTGAAAAACTTTCATTTCAGCTTTTATTTCAACTGAAAAACTTTTATTTAACTCTGAACTGAAATCTGAGTATCTCACTTGAGAGGGATTTCAAGTAACGACTATTAATACAGGCCAAAGTAGGATTGTCAGAGTATCAAAAGGAATATTGAGGTCGAAAGTAGGATCAAAATTTTGACTTGAGCAAGAACAGAAAGATTCCTGTAGTAGGTATCTATATTCAGTCAACTATTCTTAATTATTTCAACCGAATTTTAACTGAAGAACAATTCTGACGCGTTCACGCTTATAAGAGATTCCAGTCGTACCTGTGTTGTTATTATCGGTTATATCATAAAATGTTATCACACACACGGGAAAAACAATTTTGTTAGAGTAATTGAATTTTCTGTTACTTGAGGACCAGATGAAAAACTCGATTGTCGAAATTTCAGTCCTATTTAGATGAATGTTCTCGGCCACGATAACAGTAACAATTATTTCTCGTCAGTGAGTTTTCCGTTTGGTCCCTATTCAGTTATCCGGAATGAAATCTTTTTTTCCGTGCAGAACAGAAAAAGTATTCTCTCGTAGGGTGACGTCAACAAGAATCGTATCGATAACGAATAGTAAATACTAGATATCACGCCTGACACGAGCTCGCTCGCGCCACCTTGTATCATCGATATACGAGGAAGATGCTCGTGTCTTGTGTCAATTACTCGTCGTCCTCTTCGCGCAACAAGTCGGACGTCAAAATGTGGACGACACATTGGCGAGGCGATCGACAGCAACCTGCGTATCGCGCTGCGCAAAGCGAACCCGCGAATGTAAACTTAGATTGAGACGTTATTTTGCACGTTGTTGCTGCTACTGCTGTGTTGTCGTCAGCCCTCCGACGACGTGCAACGTCCGTCGGGGCGCGTTTATTTGACCGTTGGACGCGAATCGAACTGCTCTCTCCGTCGGTATTTCCCGCTGTGATTAACGAGCGGCAGTAGCTCGCGGAAAAACGTCGATAGGGCCAAGCACGAGCAAGATATTATGTCGATGAGCCGCACTGGCGGCCTTCCCGGACGAGACGGGCTTTTAACGAACGATCGTTCCCGACGTGACTCCGCCCACGATCGCGACCGTTGTCAGGCAATCATCCGCGGAACGTCCCAACTGAAATCTCTTCGGCAAACGGGCCACGTACCCTCTGCGCGCGTTCCGGACGGAGAACCGTGCAGAACCGGGCTTCCGCGCGGAGCTCGCAGTGCGAATCGCACCCTCCTGTCGGCACCTGCTGGCACCTGCTGATGCCGCTCAAGTCCCTCCGCCTGCTCGGCTCCGACGATCTGCTCGATTTCACTCGGTGAGTGACACCGTTGATCGATGGAACATCAATCAAAAGGAATGCGACGTTTCGCCGTGGTTTCGCGTTGAACCGACACTTTCCTGCCGTTGCTATTTTTATTCCTGTACACAGAGAGAATTTCATAGTAAACATTATTATAGAATTTTGGCTTTTAGGATTGCTTGACTTTTAGATTTTTTTCGAATTTTTACGACTGAGAAACATATTTTTTCATATTCTTAACATTTATTCTTGTTTATTTCATTTATTTTTTTCTGTTTCACTTACATCTTTTAGAAACTCTTAAGAACTAAAAATTTAAATTAGAAAGAGTTTGTACGAAACAGATCTATAATATTCTCTCTGTGTATATATACACATTTTTCTACTTTGAAAATTAAAATAGAGTCTCTATAATGTGTTGAATCAAAATATACAAAGAAGGGTTAATAAGAAACTAACTTAAAAAAAGTAAATTGCACACGGAAAAAAAATATTTGGTTGAATTAACCAAACATCTGGTCGAATATGAACGATCCAGAAATTCCGATTGAAGTAACCCGAATTTTGTTTAACAAGTTAACAAGATTTTTAGTAGACTAATCAAACATGTCTGGTTAAATAACCAGACATGTTTGATTAGTCTACATGTTTGATTAGTTAAAAATCTTGTTAACTTAAACAGAATTCGGGTTACTTCAATCGGAATTTCTGGATCGTTCATATTCGACCAGATGTTTGGTTAATTCAACCAAATATTTTTTTCATATTCGACCAGATGTTTGAATAGTTTAATCAAATCTTTTTTTCCCGTGCAGAATAATAAATGAGATTAAAGAAACCGTGCAATAATATATATTTTTCTGGCTTACAGTTGTGTTTAAGCTCTTATTGGCCCGCCACCTCTTTCTTTACACATCTATCTACTTCGTTATTATTTCTACTCCTTCGCAACCTAATCGGGTGTCCTCAAACTCGTGACTGATTTGAATTAATCTGTCCGTAGGTGAAGGGGAACGTCGAGAAGCGAGGATCACTCGGCAAGATCTTCTCGAGGCATCGAGAGCAAGAGGAGGAGCGCGAAGGATCCCGACAAGATGGTCTCGAGAATCTCGTGAGCGGCGTCGAGGAGGATGAAGAGTCCGATCGTGGAGTATCTCCTCGGGAAGGAAATATCGACAAGGCAAGATCGCATAAACGATTGCTGGAACGGGAATGCCACGGGCGGCAGGATGTCGTCGCCGGCACCCGGCGCGGACGATCGTGACGAGCAGGACGAAGACGAGGCTGACGAGAGATAACGAAAGATGACGGAGGCGGTGTCGAGCAGCAGAGTGAGGGAGCTTCAAGCCATGCTGTTCCCGGTTCAGCCTATTCCCGGTGAGCTCTAACGAGGACAGGCATAATTGCCCGATGATCGATTAATTGACAGGATCGTAATAGTCATAATAATCACACAGCGAATTAATTTCCATCCTGACACGCGCGATCGTGCCGCGCGTCTGCGATTAATTTGCAATTACAAACGAGAGCGTCGGCGGGGCCGCGAACGCCACGGACGTTGTACCCAGACGCGGACATCGATCCCTCGCGAGCGACCTACGATCGCGCTCGGCTCTACGTGACGTAATGTCTTTTTCGCCGAGACCTATCATTATGGCACCTATAGGGTTACACAGGCGCGAATAATTCAGCCCGCGAATCCGCACGGTGGCTCGTTGAGAGATTCCTCCGCCAATTTGCACGAACTCCGCTCGGCGTAATCGAATTAAGCCTCTGCGCTCGTCCGAGCTATGTTTGACAATACGCTGCGACCGTAAAGATGTAAATGTATATTTATGAGATGATAAAAATATATAGGTGTAGTGACCTATACTGAAAAAAGAATACTTGAATATTTATCTGCGGAATATAAATTGTGTGACTCACACACAGAGAAATAAATTTTATTTCGCAGGGAAAAACTTTATATGCCACAAATGAATTTTCAAGTATCTTTTTCTTAATGCACAAAAAAAGATACTTGGAAATTTATTTGTGGGATGAAAGATTATTTTGCAGAAATAAACTTTATCTCACGAAATTGACTTTATACGACACAAATAAATATTCAAATTTTTTTTCTCGATGTACAAAGAAAAATACATAAAAATTTATTTATGGGATATAAAATTTATCTCACAAGAAATAAAGTTTAATTTACAGAAAACTCGCCAAAATATTATTTCACAGAAATAAACTTTATTTCTCTCTGTCAATAAAATATATACTCCACAAATAAATTCTCAGGTATTTTTTTTCAGTATACGAATCATTATATATTTTTCAAGCAATTGAGAATTCTTATAAATAGTAACTCAATGTATCTTTCTCTTTGTTTTCATCTTGTATGTCAGCTATTGCAGCTGAGGCTTTCCGCTCGTTGATTGCGACTCTCTTCATTCGCGTTTTGCGTGGAAAAAATTCTTCCTCTTCCATTGACATACATGTTCTTATTGCTAATTTATCAGTTGATTAATTGATTAATTTCATCTTTATCCGTTTTTCGAGAGTCGCAGCACAGACATATTTATTTCTCTCTTCGTACTTCTTCTAATTGTCTGAAAGAAGTAGAATGCATCTCCATTGAGATGCATCAAAAGCATGGAGCGATGTGAAAATGATACAATCCTTTAGCAAATTGCCCATAATGTTGCAGGTAGCATGCTTTCCGAGCTGCAAGTGCCACAAGAGTTGCAAGTATCTCAGCTGGAACGTTACGACAGCTCCGTCCTGAGGCGGGAAGTGGAGTCGGCGTTGTTCGCGATACCTTTGGGTCTGTCCAGGCATCGATACTCCAAGGAGACACTCCGGGCAGTCCTCGACGCACGCTGCATCGTCGATGGAAGCATTCAGGAGGCGGCCAGGTGGCCAACCGAGTGTCAGGTGAGAAGCACGCACTGCGTGCGTATTTTGGATCCTTTCTTCTTCTTAAGAATTCATACGAAATCGCTTACTCATATTTTACTCTGACTAATCCATATTACTAAGCGAATTTACGCTTCATCCAAGTATTTCCTTTTAGGTGATTCCAGAGAGAATTCGTCATATCGAATATAATCCCGGTACCCCGGAGGCCTTTTACGTTTCAACGGGAAAAGAACCGAGACCGAAACCGATCAACGACGAGCTCGGGACGGTGATCTTTCGCTATTGCCCGACCAACGTCACCAATTACGTGAGTCGCAGTGAATACTGCGGTATCTGAATCTTTTCTTCTCACGACATTATAGACTTCTTTCATTTAAATTCTTTCAATACAGAATTAGACTGTTAATAGAGTTTGTCTTGCTAAGAAATACGATAAATTCTTCAACAGTAGAGACTAGTATAAATAGTACAAAAAAATATATAAATAACACATTTGAATCCGAAGGATAATAAATTATCTTAATGTTCTCAAAGGATGAACTCTGTCATTTCTATAGTTCAGTCGTTCTTGCGTGGGCGGGAGCACGGTATTGCCGTTTCCCGCAGAATTTTCCGGGGAAAGCGCTGGAGATAACAAGGAGATAACTAATGAGAACGATATTTTCTTCCTCGCCGAAGCGTCCATTCGTCCAAAGGAGGACAACACAGATCTGCGCTTCGAGTCAAGATTCGAGTCCGGCAATCTCGGCAAAGTGGTGAAGATAACCGACACGTATTATCAGCTCTATCTCAGGAGGGATCTTTACACTCAGAGGCATACACAGTGGTACTACTTCAAAGTGTCCAACACGCGGAGTAGAATCACGTACAGGTACGCGATCGAAACGCCGCGACTCGTCGCGTTCCGAAGAGTTTCTCGCAGTCAAAGTTAAATTGACACTTGACTTGGAAGAAGAAAAGCTTCGAGCATTATTTACATCTCCTCATTTGCATCCATTTGTATACCATCTTTTATTTCGTACGCTAAAAATTGAAAGAAACCGAATGAGATGAAAATTTAGTCAACGCCCTTTCTGCGGGAAAAAAAGTTGTCTATTTTTTGCACCAAAAAGATATGAAATTTGTAAACTTATTATCAATAGTTAGCAATCAACTATATAGGTCACAAGTGCCTAGTCTCAGTTTCAGAAGAGCTTGTTGCGTTTACAGGTTCTCGATTGTAAACATGTGCAAAGAGGAGAGCCTCTACAACGAGGGTCTCAAGCCGCTGCTCTATTCCACCGAGGACGCTCGCACCCGGTCCATAGGGTGGCGGAGATGCGGCGACAACATCACGTATTACCGAAACAACGACTCGTCGTGAGTACTTGGAAATTTTGCCCGAATTTTGCTCGCGACGCGCGTAAGAGCTCGCGTGAAATTCTTGCAGAGACGATGAGCGGGAGAGGCACACGCTGTCGTTCAACATCTCGTTCCCCCACGACCGTGACATCGTTTACCTGGCCCACTGCTATCCTTACACGTACACCGACCTGCAGGTATTGCCGATCGAGACACTTGAAAATCCCGCAAAAAATGAAGTGTATCGTGATTCTCTCCGGGGGAACAGAAAATTACTCTCTTGAAGTGAATCAGTGAAAACAGTAAATATACACTGATTTACAGATATAAGTACAGCACTGAAACTGCTCAGTGCTATACTTATAACTGATATCAGTTATAAGTACTATTCACTGATTCACTTTAAGAGAGTACAACTTCCTTTCATGCATAAATTTCTTTCAATTTCATCAAGTTTTCTAACAGTGTAAGGACAGACTACCAGTAGACTTTGTTTTGTGAAGGGACATATGATACATTTCTTAACTTAAGAACGGAAGTTCTTCACTTCAGTTTCTAAAATATATAAACAGCACATGTGTGAAATGGAAGGATATGAAATTAGGGCGGAATGTTGGCATGTCCCATAGTTATTACAAGAGGCTGTATTAATGTTTACTGTTTGAAATCCGCAAGTGTTTGAAAGTTTCAGTCGAAAGAGTAGAAACATAATACCGATTGGGAATCCCTCGAGTATCTCGCTGCTCGTCCAACGCTGCAACTAACGTCCGCGTTTTTCAGCGGACAGATCGTAAAACGCCCGCGTTAATTATAGCACGGAATGCTCCCGCTCCCGACGAAAAGCACGCACGGTGGCGGTGGAGCGCCGTTTACTCCTCCACATTCCTCCGTTGCACGGGAAGGGTTTATCGTGTTCGCGATCGGAGCGCGAGCGATTCCCAGCGCGTGATTGTGTATTTATCGCGTCTCGCCGCAGATCCGATCTCGGCCTCTCTAATTACCTGGCGTAAATACGCCAGGAGTACCTCGGCAGAATCGTGGCCGACCCTGCGAAAACTAGATTCACCAAGCTGCGCCTGCTGTGCCGCAGTCTGGCCGGAAACGGCGTGTACTACTTGACGATCACCGCACCCACACACGACGAGGAGGCGCGCCGGAAGCGGGGTGTCGTTATCACCGGCCGGGTGCATCCCGGCGAGACGCCTTCCAGCTGGACGATGAAGGGCATCATCGACTTCCTCACCGGCGACACGAATCGCGCCCGAGTAAGACGCAATCGGCGAGCATAATCGTCCGCAAATTCTTAGAATCGCCGCGAAATGTTAGGTTGCTGCAGAAGAATGGCCGGTTCTCCGTTAAATTCCGACTCGCGGAAGCTTATCGATCGAGCGAGTTCCAGAAAAGGAACAAGAAGACATCGTCAGACGTTTGACAAAGTGGCGAGCCGACGTTGTCTTATCTTTGGAAAAATGATCGATGCTTCGCGAGCGGATGATTTCGTTTTCAAGTTTATCATGAACCAATAAGACAGACCTTCCGCATCAACCCAACACAAGTGTCGAGAACGTACACGGACGGAATAATTCTTTCTAATTTCATCACATTCTCTAATAGTGCAGACTGTCGATAGAATCTTTTCTGTTAAGAAGCAGAGTAAGTATTTAAGGCTCCTTATACTTCGCCATGTCGAATTTGTGACGTCAATAGCGAGGAATGGCATGCTGAGGAAAGTTGCGTGCCATTTCTGAGTAAAGATAAATATGAACGAAAGAACATTTGAAATTGCTTGAGCACATTTGTAAAGTCGTCCAAAAGCTATCCTTTGCTCTTGATGATCAATAAATAGTCGTATAATAAATAGTGAAATGATGAATGATGAGTTTGTTTTGTCTGCATGCTTCATTTCACCATTTATTATACGACTATTCACTGATCGTCGGGGAAAAGGGACAGTTTTCAAAAAATTTCACAAGTGTGCTTAAGCGATCTTAAGTACTCTTTCGTTCGTATTTATCTTTATTTAGAAATGACTTTCATCAGCGTGTCATTCCTCACTTCTGACGTCACAAATCCGACATGGTCGCGGCGAGGACCAGAAGGAGCTTTAATAACATGTTTCTTAGTTCCTAAAATATAAGATAGAAAGATAATAAAGCGGGATGCCGATACGTTCCTTGATAAAAAAAAATTGTATAGTAATTTCTACCGTGTACGAATCGTACGTTCGATGCCAACGCTTCGATTCACGTACGATTCGAAGCTGAACGAAGCGCGCGATCGTGCAGGAGCTGCGGGAGAGATTCGTTTTCAAGCTGGTGCCGATGCTGAACCCGGACGGCGTGATAGTAGGCAACAATCGTTGCTCCTTGTCCGGGAAGGATCTGAACCGGCAGTACAGAACCGTGATGCGAGAGAGCTATCCGTCCGTGTGGCACACGAAGTTGATGATCCGCCGGCTCCTCGAGGAATGCGGCGTGGCCATATACTGCGACCTGCACGCTCACTCGAGGAAGCACAACATCTTCGCCTACGGCTGCGAGAGCAAACGGGCCGGATGTAGCGGCAAACTGTCGGAGCAGGTGTTTCCGCTGATGCTGCACAAGAATGCAGCCGACAAGGTGAGACGAAGAAACGCAGAGTTATCGACGCATTTTTACGCTCTCCGAATTTTTTGGAATAAGATTTCATTCAAAAAGTAGGCTATCTACTCGAATTCGAGTGATCTTTCGCGCTTATAAAATAGGTTCCCCATTCTGAATCACCGAATGAATATTTTCACTTGAAACTGGAGAGGAAAACTGATGTATTCGACCATCTTACGGGAACATATTTACTCTGAACGGTCGAAACATTAGTTCATATGAAATGAGAATCCACTCTAATCTTGAGTTAAACACTCTAAGAGACTCGATTCCACCAACGTTTTTAAACGTCGATTAAACCTCAGCTTGAGCTCAAATCTTCGTCTGAAAGCAGTTTAAACTCAGATTAAGACTTAATCGATGTTGGTGAAACCGGGTATAAGAGTTAACACGTTGGATTAAAACTACTAGAGTCTAAAGTAAACTAAGAGTAAATACTTAGAGTGTTAAACACTCTAAACTTGAGAATTTGCATTAAACATTCACTATTACGATTCCGAGTGGCAGAATTTCCCCCAAAAAAAAAACGTAGAAAGTACTCAGTACAAATCAAGCTGGGGTGTTGACTTTCAAAGAATGTGGTCGACGGAAAGAAGATGAATAGATTTCCGAAAATTATGTTACGATGTTTGTGATTTGGTTGTTCGATGGTTTCGTGAATACACGGAAAAAATAATTCTGTTGGTGCAACCGAATTTTCGGTTGCTCAGAAATCAGACGAAAACTCGGCTGTAAGAACAGAAAAATTCCTTTATGAGGCTTCTGTATAGTCTCAGTCGCTTCAACCGAATTCTAATATCGCTGAATGTTCAGACGAATATATTCGGTTGCGACAACAGAAATATTAGTTTTCAAAACAGAGATATCGCTTCTGATCGCCCAATTTTCAGTTGGTTCCTATTCGCTTGCATCAACTAAGATTTTTTTGCGTGTAGTTATGCAAATTGCATCAGAAGCTTCCTCTCTTTTATGTGCAGTTCTCCTTTGAAAATTGCAAGTTTCACGTTGAGAAGGGAAAGGAAGGTACTGGCAGAGTGGTCGTGTGGTCGATGGGCGTACAAAACAGTTACACCATGGAGGCATCAATGGGTGGCTCGAAGATGGGCTCGAGATGCGGAACTCATTTCTCCACGCAGGACTACGAGCAGATCGGCAAGGCCTTCTGCGAGACCCTTCTCGATTTCTCCGATCAGGATCCCACGAAGGTAAACTAATGGTGAACTAACCCTTTGACGCGTGTTTTCCGCGTTCAAGACTTTAGGACTGTTCTTTTTCGAAGAACTTCCTGAATTGGTGCAATAAATTAAAAGGAAAACAAGTATATATTATTTCAGTCCAACTTTTATCGCACCAATGCGCATCAATTCAAGAAGTTCTTCCAAAAGGAACACACCTCTGGGCATTCGCGTTGGATATGATCGAGGATCTTTTTGTACCGCCAAATTCCGCATACAAATATCGCCTTATGATTTTCACATTTCGTAAATTGTATTCGCGAAATAAAGTCACCGTTAACGAGGAAGCGTCCCGAAGAAACGCCGACGTCACGCGCGTGGCGGGTCGACGTGTTAAATCGATCGAGCTCCGTTGGTCATGAATCTATTCAATGAATATTTTTCACGCGCGGCACCCCCTCGCACGGACCCACGGCTTATGGTAAGTTGTACATGTATACGTCGAGTTATTTTCATCGATAATAGAATGCCAATCGTTCCTCGATAAATTTAGAAGCGCTCGGCGATTGTATCGTCCGACAGTGGTGCGTGCAAACGTCGAGCGGGCGGTGTTACGTTTATCGAGATTCGATTCATGCAATAAATGTGAGACTTCTAAGAGTGATCGTGACGCTTCTAGATGACGGAACCATCAAATCGACTCTGTCCCGAACGTCAAACGACAGGAGAGACTGCGAAATAAGATCATAGCCAGGCTGACGAAGGAAGGATCCAACGCCGACGAACCCACCAATATCGATCTGACTGACTACTCCAGGTGATTCACTTCCACATCTTACTGTCCAAATTTCTCGAAGTGAAGTCTCACTCAACACGAGTGAGTGAGAATATTCACCCCGACTATTCAGAACAGAGAATTCACTCTACACGGAGAGAATATTATAGTTTTTTTTATACATTGAGAGAAAAGATATCTGAAAAATAAATAATATATATTCGGTGGGTACTAATAATATATATTTACTTATACTAATATACTAATATACGTATTTGTACATTGAAAAAAACAATTCTTTCAAATGAGACTTTTTCTTGCTAACACCGCTTTCTCGTGAAAACGGTGTTTTCTCTCGAAGAGTTATTTATTTTATTTAAACAAAAGAATAAGATAAGTGAGTATGTTATTAGCACTCACCAAGTAAGCGTTTTTTTATTTTTGAGATATTTTTTTCTCTTAGTGTATAAATTCTTTTCAATTTTGTCCTTTTTCTAATGATGCAAATAGACTGTAAGCAGAGTTTATCTTGTTAAGAGAAACGAGAAGAAAACATAGTAAATCTTTAAATTTATTTACTTCAAATTGTTTAACAATACTTCAATTACTAAAGCAGGAATAGCACTTATGAAACGGAAAGATAATAAATTAAGGAAAGATATACTCCCGGACAAAATTCTATAGCAATTTTTACTATAAAATCCTTTCCGTGTATAAATGAAAAGTCACTCGAATTTGAGTGAAAATTCACTTAAAAAATTTATAAGATACACGTGTCTTCTCTCTGTGACATCCCTGGACGGCTGTATACAATTTAAGTGTCTGATTAGCGATGAAGGGGACACCTCGCAGGAGAGTTTCTCGTCGGACGATGAGAGGATCGAGTACACGGACGCCGTGTGGGCCAGCGAGGGTGGCGAGTTCCTGGCGGGTCGTCGCCGATACCTCTGCGTACCTCCGCCGTCGCCCACGTTCGTCCCGCCGAGGAGCATCGGCCTCTGTAGAAGGAGAGCGCGGCGGGACGTTGCGGGCAGGATTTACCTGGAGCGCAGAAGAATCCTGGTATGCACAGCGACATATGAAGATATCTTGAGATGTGATAAAAATGAACATTTCGCTCAAGCTCAGAGTGAATTATAACTCCATACGAGTGAAAGTTTTACTCGGTTAGAGTAAATTATTCCTGCGACAGTGGAAGACAGAGTGGAGGATTTATTCCATAAGGATGAAAGATTACTTAAATTCGAATGACGCGGCTGTCACTCTGCTGTTTGAGTAGAATTGCACTCTAAAATAATTGGAAAATTCGATCCTGATCAATTCAACAGGCGCGGCGTGCGGTAATGGACCTGCCGACCACGGATCCAGGCAGCGATCTCTGCGATCTCACCGATTCAGCAGACGAGGGCTTCGTCAGGAGCGAAGGGCGAGAATGCGAAGGTGACGATTCACCTGGCTCTCGATTATATACCAAGGTAAACTTCTTTATATACATCCAAAATCGTCTATCTCTTAGTTATGTGGAGAAGAACGCCGCGGGAACGTCGCGAGGAAATCGTCAATCTCTCCGAACGCGAGACCACGGAGAAGGAGGAGCGACAAGGCAAGACACTGATCCTGCCGGAGATCGTAAGACCTCGCAGCGTGTCTTTCGGGGAGATCCTGCCGCGCAAGGATCATCGAAAGGCTCGTCAGCGGACGCGGTGTCTCCGGTACGATTTAATCCCGGAATGGAACGAAAGAGATTGTCACGACAATCCGACGACAATGCAACTTTAAAGTTACAAGGTGATGTTAATCGATCGACTGCCGCTAGTGCGCTGAGGAATCCGTCGCCGGTGTCGCCGACGAGTCGAGAAGCGAGGATGAAGCTGACGTCGTTGAGGCAGCAGATTTGGACAGGTGTGCCGTGCACCGCCACCGCCCTCGAGTGCATCGACGCGGGACACCAGGTCGACGCTTTCGTCAAGATGCCGTTGAGCTGGGGCGTTTCCAGACACGCTCTAACGCACTATCCCACGGATGGTGAAGACACGCTAAAGTGAGTTCAACTGCTTCACTTATCGCGGACGTAGCGTATGTGTGTGTGTGTGTTATATGTCACGATTAACCCTTTCAGGACGGGAGTTGCTCGGGAAGATAATTATAGGGAAGTAGGTATTCTATGGATTTTTGAGGTCGTTGAATCCGAATCTAAACCTAGATTTTAAAAATTCTGTGATTCAAGACCCAATATGGCGGACCCAATTTGGCGGAAAAAATGATAAATAATATAAATATCACTCAATTTCCGTGAAATTTGAACTATGAAACTTTTTAAAGATACTTTTTTGAGAACTGAAATCGGATATTTGAAATTCAAAATGCCGACCAAGGAAAACAATTTTTAGATCTGACCCGACCTGATCACATCTGCTCATTTATGCTCACCCTTGCAAAAATAGTTCGTATATCGAAATCAGTCAAGATTTTCACTAATTCAAATTTAGAGAGTATAAAGTTCCACGGAAATTGAGTCATATTTACATAATTTGGCATCTTGAAAATCGCCATATTTGACCCGCCATTTTCAATTTTACATTTTTTTACTTCAAATTTGGAAAGAGCACCCCAAAAAACCCCTACATATCAATTTTTGTAAATATCAGATCGATAGTTTCTGAAATATATGCATGAAGGCCGTAGAGTATCAAAAGATGTCTCCCGTCCTGAAAGGATTAAGGCCAAGTTTCACAACATTCGTTTAATTTTAACTATCGGTTAAGTCCCAATAGTGATTGGTTAATTCTGATTAAATCTTCTTAATGTCAAATGCAATTGGTCAAGTCCAATGGAATAACCAGCCAATTAAGTTAACTGGAGGTTGTGGAACCTAAGAGAGGTATTCATAATCCGATATTATATTACATTGAAAGAAATTATCCGATAAAAAATTAACAAGCGGATATTTCCGATCAAATTTCGATCGTTTTTTTTATCCAATCAGGATATCCGATTAAATTTTATCGGATACTTTCGATCATAATAGTATTTCGTTGGATAAACCGATGAAAAAATTATGAACCGATATTTCTAATCGAATGTTTCCTGATTGAATACAAAAATTCATCGGTATTTTGATCGGAAATATCCGTTTGTTAATTTTTTATCAAATAATTTCTCTCAATGTAGGTTAATACAAAAGATTTACCGTGTTTGTCAAATAAAATAGCAAACGGAATTATCCTATTTCGAAGGATTAATAACTTAAACTTTTAAATGAGCAAAATATTGACACGATATTTGTTTACATTTTTGAGCTATTCGGTAACACTTGAGTTACCAAAATAAGAATAGAATATACGAAATAAAAGGATAATAAATTGAGGCAAAGTATCGATATGTTCCTTATTATTATAAGAATAATCGCTTATGATTGGCCAATTCTTATGGCTTACTTCTTACTCCAAGCTTACTTCACATATTGTAAGCCAAGCCTAACATTCATGTGAATCCCATCAGACCTATACACATTCTCGGTATATTATATTGATAATATTTCGTTGTTTTCAGTATTCTTTTAAAAGGAAAAAAACATAAATCCTTCTAAATAAACGAATCTCATCAAAATAAAATAAAAACACTCCTAATCACGAAAGCAAAATCATGAGACTATGAGCTATAATGAGACTCGATGTGTTAAATCTACGCAGAAAAAAGGACATTCTTATTTGGAAAATATATTTTTGACATGTTAATCTTCAAATATGAGGTTACATAGCGTTAGACGAAAATAAATTACTTGCACTTAACACATCTTATATTCAATTCAATAAATCATTTTTTTTTTTTATTGAAGACTGCAAAGTTCTTCATACAATATTATTCATCGTTGCTTATATATGAAACAATGATTGTTGATTTGAGTATACTAGTTTTAAGTGGATAAAGAAAAAGCTGGGTTATAACATATTTAAAAACATATTCTCAATCCAATATTTTGTGTTTTCCATTATTTTGGAACAATAAGGACATAGGTTTTCCTTCCTTGAGAATCACATTCTTGCGAGTAACTTTTCTTCGTTTATAACATTATATAATCTTATTTAAATATTAACATGTTGAAAATAAAGATATTTCCTGAACAAGAATATCCTTTCTTTCTGTATAGCGTTTCTGTTATTCGCGACGGAGATAGAAATGTTTCCGTCTCATCGCTTATTGTGACGTATCATTGTATCTTTAGATTGCAGTCCAAAAAGTCGCTGGCTTATGGCGAGAGCAGAGACGACTCGAGGAAAACGCGGCGGAAGTCGCGGCGTAAACGACAGGGCGCCGCCGCGGAGAGCCTGCCGTCGCAGCTGAAGGAGGTCGTGGGTCGCGCGGACGGCTCGTCCAAGTCGTCGTCGTCGTCGTTGAAGAAGAAGAGCTCCAAGTTCGACTGGCAACGGGCGGTAAACACCAGGATGAAGGACGTGAGAGGCGCAAAGACGTCGTATCTCGCGATCGAGGCAGACTCGCTGAAGCTGCTGGCCGCGTCGACGACGCCGAAGAAGCAGCCGCAGCAACAGCGGCCGCGAAAGCTCGAGCCGCGGAGGAAATTCCGCGGCGCCGGCACGGTGGCGTCCACGTGCGTCAGCGTCGCCAACAAGGCCGGCGGCAAGGTCGCGAGGCAGCCGCCGAGGACGCCGACGAGCAGAACGCGATCGCGACGCGACGCGATCTTCCGCTGCGAGAGCTCGACGTCGGATGACGCGTCCTCGTCGTACGACACTTCCGGCAAACCGAAGGCCGCGAAGAAAAAACAGAAGAAGAAGAAACAGCAACAAACGTCGAGGAAGCAGGCTCCGACGAGCAGAACGACGGAGCAGAAGAAGCGCGCCTCTAGCGCGAAAATATTGCGCGAGAATGTTTAGAGAAGAAAAAAATACACAACGAAGTGTTCCCGTAGGTCGTAATATAAGATCTCTACACGGAGAGAATTTTGTCGAGGAGCATATCGCAACATTCCGTCTTATTTAAAAAAATCTACCTTAATTTATTATATTTCCGTCTTGTGTGCTATATATTTATATTTGTATATGTGTTTCGTTTGTATATTGGAAAAAAAACTGAAGTTTGCATGTGTGTGCTGAAAAATTTACTGTACTCTTTTGCAAAATTTATTATGTTCTTAAAAAGTTATTATGCTCCTTAGTGAGATAAAAATATGCTGACAGTCTGTTCCTACGCTATCAAAAGCGTAATAAAATTGAAGAAAATTTATATAGCTCTGATATCCTTTCCGTGTATGGATTCTTCGAAATCGGTTTGAAGTCAATTTACTTCTTTTTTCTTCTCGAAAGAAGTCGAGATTTGATTAATTGACGCGAGAATCGCGTCGTAATATAAATATACATTTTAAAAGATATATATATATATATATATATATATATATATATATATATATATATATATATA